GTGGGGGGTGGGGGGGTGTTTCTATTCTCTTGAGAACATCCTGCTTGGTAAAGTAGTGGGCCAATAAAAAAGGAGAAAGCTCTCAATTATGCGAACTGACCATAGTGGCTCTAACAATAGTACATACGTAAAAAATGATGCAGATGGTGCAGGATGGGCCAGTGTTTAGTTCTGTTGTGTAGGGTCAGAAGCAATTGGAGGGCACCTAACAAGGGCATGTGGTATAACTAATGATAACTCATTGCCATCCAATTGGTCCCGACTCATTACGATCCCATAGTGCACAATGCGGCTGGTGGCCTTGCAGTTAAAGTCGAACGCTTACCAGACAGTGCCACTAGCGTTCTTTCTTTTCTTTCAATCAACCAATTATAGAGTTATTACTGATTTTAAGTAAATGTACGAAAACAGATCACAAAAAGGAGACGGCCAAAGTGCAATCTTTTAACTCGAATACATCTTAAGTCAGGGAGTACCTGTGAATATTTGGAGTTTTCCAGGTGATAGCCCTTTTTAATACTAGTCACAGACTAGATGGCTCTGAATGACTGACATTTCTTAAAATTCCTCGGGTTGCACAGCCTTGGGAGTGCTTTGGGTGTACTATGTAGAATCATCCTGTCGCGCCATCTATCGGGCCGTCAGAAAAGGCCAGACCTAAAATCCCCATCCTAGGTCAAACTTCTCTAACCACGCTCCTCCAGGTTTTGTTTTTTTCCCCCCCGCTAGGCTAGGTAGCCTAGCTTGTCCGAGACTACAGTTCCCAGAAGCCCGTGGGTAATCTCGTTGCTTGGGAGTTAGGAATGATCGCGAGAAGACGTGGTTGGGGCGGCTGCGCGGAGCGGGTAGGGAGAGCAAGGAGGAAGAGGAGGAGGTACTGTCCCACAATACCAGGCGGGAGGGCGGGTAGGCGGTTTGTATCCGGGCTGTGAGGTGCTGGGTGCCTCCGCGGACCGGGCTGCCGCTGTCTCTTTAACGCGAGAGGAAGCGATGCAGAGGGGTGGAAAATGGCAGAGCTGCAGATGTTACTAGAGGAGGAGATTCCGTCTGGCAAGAGGGCGCTGATAGAGAGTTACCAGAACCTGACCCGGGTGGCGGACTACTGTGAAAACAACTACATACAGGTGAGGAGCGCGGGCGGGTGCGGGTCGGCCCGAGGACCCGCGGCTGGCCGCCGGAGTGACCAGCCCACTGGGCGGGGTGGGGAACTGCCTAGCCTCCGCTTCAACCCCAACCCCAACCCCACCTTCAACCCCAGCCCTGGAGAGCAAGTGGCAGGGCAGAGGGAGTTGGGCTGTGATACAGGAAGTGGCGCTGGTGGTCGAAACCCTTAGAGGGGAGGGAGCCCGAGCCCGCCGCAGCCCGCAGCCCGCAGCCCCCGGTCGCGCGCCTCCCCGCGGGCTCGGCCCCTCGGCAGCTCCCCGCGGGCCGCGCGTCTGCCCAGCGCCCCCGGCCCTGGCCGGGCCGGAAGGGACAGCAAAGCCACCAGCGTGAGGCTAGGGAGAAGTAGCAGACGGGAGAGGAAAAGCGGGGTGTGTGTCTGTCGGGGGAGGGTGCGGTGGGGTGGGGGCGATTATGTCAATTCCATCCAGAGGGTGTGTCTTTCATTTCTTAAAAAGAAAATTTGTCATGAGTCACATTTACACAGACCTCCCCGAGGAGACGGGGAATCGGGTGGGGAGTAAGGGAGGGTGTTGGAGAGAAGTTCATCTTAAATTCCTTTAATTGAAGGTTTGTAAATTTGCCTGCCTGCCCGTTTTTTAAGTCGGGTTTTCCCCTCCCGTCATGTTCACTTCCGCTCCACTATAATGTGATCTAGAGGTTGTTTAAGCTTGTCGTTATTGTACAACATGAACTATTCCGAACTATTTGGAAAAAATGGCTTGCTTACGTACTTTTCCCTCTCCCCCAAGTTCTTGAATTGTTGGCTTCAAAAGTAACAAAATAGAATGCGGTTTGCTGAGGCTTCCCTTTCCAACCCATGTAAATAACGTGTGTATAGAATGCGAATGCAAATGATCCCAAACCTTTGAACTGGTTGCTAGAATAGCTGTCATTGTAAATGTATTAGAAAATCCTTGGGACCTTATCTGTGTCAGATGCTTTTAATGACTGGAAGTGACTGTTGTATGTGGTAGTTTGGGTTGTAGATCTTTAACTGTGTAAACAACAGTTTGTGATAGAAACAAATAAAGCAGGAGTCCATTATCAACTTAATGTCCCCCCCACCCTCCCGTTTGCTTGTTCTTGGTGAGACATGACCAAAACCTGCTTTGAAAGGGTTATTGCTATTCCAGAAGTCAAGTATTTTTAGAAATGCCTCCCTTGTGATTATCATTTTTAAGAACCAACTTTCTGTGTTGGCAAATGCGTTTCCTCTTTATTTTTAGAGGGAGAAACTGTTTTTAGAGTATGTCAAATATTTCTCAATTTCTATATTAGTAACTTTGTATCATCAGTAGCCTTGGCGGGAGTTTATCTTCACAGATTCCCCCCCACCCACCCAAGCTTTTACTTTAGGAATTTTACTGATAAGGAAACTTGTTGAATGCTTGCATTTCCACCGCATTACTTGTTTCTGCAAACTTCATTGTTTAGCCTGAAACATCTTAATATCTAGCAGATATATGGATCTAGTTTGCAACTAGAGAAACGATTGGTAGTGTATTAAAAAAATGCAGCTTTTATTCAGGTTAGCGTGAAAAGCTTTAGAAGTGAGGTGGACTTTTCTTGTTGAAGGTTTTTAAAGATTGTGAAACTCAAGTGGGAGAGCATAGGAGACTAAATTGCCCCCGTCCTAGAAAAGCCGTTTCTTCGGTCTAGAAGTCAGAAGGCCAGTGCTGTGTGAGGGGAGGCTCCCTTTTGTTTTGCATGTTGGGAAATCTGACAAGTATATGGTGTGGTAACTTACATGTTGCCAACAGTTGGTAGCTGTAGACTTGTTTTAACCTGTTTGTTGACTATTTCTTGTTCAGATAGTTGAATGCTCTAAGGACTTTCTTGTTTTACTCCCTCTGATTCCTTTTCTGCTATTATCATGTAGTTCTGAAGCATTTGAAAACTTCATTGGTAATTTTCCTAATTAGATCAGTCCTGTAATTTCTCATAGTCGTTCATGTAAAAGAAGTATTAGTAACATGGTGTCAGGGTCACACAGCTGGTGGCCCTGAGGCTTTTTTTGTTTTATGGCCCTAACTTGACTCAAGTTGCGAACCATTGTTGCTGAATCAGTGCAAATAGTTTGTGCTCAACCACCAACCAACAGGTTGTTAGTACAAGTCCACCACACAGCATTGTGAGACAGGCTTAACCATTGAATTATATAAAGATCATATCCAACATAATCCTATGGAACTCAGTTTTATCCTTTTTTTTTTCTTATAGCAACATTCCATCATTTAATTGTGTTAAGCACACTTGTACATATGTTGCCTTCAACATTCTCAAGACATTTTCTTTCTGCTTGAGCGCTTCTTTTTTTACTTCCCTCCCACCCTCTTGGATCCTTGAGCAATTATATATTATTATTGTTATTTTGTATTTAGTTTTATCTTAATATATCCAGGTCCCCCTGAGTGGAAATCAACTAGTTAGCAACAGGCTTTTTTTTTTTTTTTAATTTGACTTGTGGGGTTTTCTCATCCAGTTAATGTTAGCTGCTGTTGAACCAGCCTCCCCCTCATGGTGACCCCATACACAACAGAGAGAAATACTGTTGAGTCTGCAGTGTCCCCATCCTCATGAGGGCTGTGGATGGGACCATTGCGATTCAGAGTGCTCTTATTGGCTGATTTCAGAAGCAGATGGGTCAGTCACCAGACATTTCGTAGTCTGACTTAGTCTGGAAGCCCTGCTAGAACTTGCCCAGCATCATCTCCATTTTCACCTGCCCCACCACCATGGGGTCGATTTTGACTCATAGTGACCCCGTACAGGGTTTCTGAGACTGCAAATCCTAACAAGAGTAGACAGCCTCATCTTTCACCTGCTGAGCAGCTGGTAGGTTTGAACTGGCAACCTTTGGTTAGTAGCCTTAATCTTCGGTTCTGCCAGGGCTCCTAACAGCATGCAAGATGAAATTCACATGCAACCATGATTAGCTTAATAGTTAAATAGTTCTTTTAACATGGGGCTGTCTTATCAGGTCACTAGCTCCCTTCCTAAGGGTCTCAGGCAAGGTGAAGAAGATGAAGACTGATTCGTTTTGGGTAACTGGTGTA